TCCGAGTGAAGAAGTGCCAGTGCCGTCCCCTTTTGCAATGAGGAATTTTCTTGTTGCGCCTGTAATTTTCATTGCTTACCTTCATCAAACTTACTCTTGTAATATAGTCTGTAGTCTATCCGTGCTCGTGTGCTATTACACAAGGACTCGAGGTACTAACTCAGTGACTCACATTTGAGAAACAATAATGGTTTGCAGTCACGCTAACTGTACTAATCTTTTTTAAGTGACTAACCTTAGTTCTTCTTCTCGGGCTCCGTCTTCTTTGTGTTCAGTTCCATTGACACCATTTACATTTCCGTTGCTAATCGGTTGTACTGTAAGATTTGCTCGGCACGATTCATCTCCAGCGGAGTTGCTGGCTTTGCACATATATTCTCCTGCGTCATTAGGTTCAGCCTCAGTAATCCTTAGTGTAGCTTTGCCATTCGAATAGGATGTAACTAGTCTTGGATCCGTTACTTTCTCGCCATTGTGGAGCCACTCGATTAGGGGTGATGGGGTGGCACCGACCTGAATATCCAACTAATTAAAAGTGAATTATAGAAGTAAGGGCATCATTTACCTCGCAAGACATCTCAACCAACTCTCCTTGACTAACGTTGACGTCTTTTAACTTGCTAGTGAAATTTGGTGGTTCTGATGAAATTTTCATTTTTAGATCATCAGCAGCTGATCGCTTTTCCGGTGAAGAGCTTTCTTGCAAATATTTTGAAGATGAATCCGAACGGATATCCGCGTATGACCGCGATCGCTCTACATCATTTGCGCTCAGCGAGTCATAAACTGATCTTCTATAGCTGCTAGTTCGGTAAGAGGAGACCCGTGGCATTGGCTCTCCGGCTTTTGTCTGCACCGTCACTACGCATTCGGTGGTAGCTTCTCCCAGAGGGCTGCTAGCTGTGCAACTGTACGTGCCCGCGTCATCCAGCCGAGTATTAAAGATCTCCAGACTGCACACTCCACTTCGGAACGTTGTCTGCACACGGTCTTGGTTTACTGGTGCTCCATCCTTGAACCACTCCACCTTCGGTATTGGATACCCTTGCAAAGAGCATATCAACTTGCACTGGTGATTCTTTTGGATGAGCCGTGGACGCAGATGGAAAGTGAAGTTTGGAGGAATTTCCTTCTCCCTAAATTCTTCCACCCTTGGTGGTGTTGGAGCCTTTCGCATAGGTTCTAGAGGACGCGAAACGAAGTCTTCGCTCTTTTTCTGCACAGTCAGGAAAACAACTTCCTCCTTCGATCCGTAAGTGTTCTTCGCCCTCACAATGTACTCACCCTTGTCCTCCATCTTCACTCTATTGATGGTAAGAGCGTAGTCGTTGTCATTGTATTTCTTCATATACTTCACACTCTGCTTCAGCTCGGTCATGTCGTGATGCCAGGTGACGATGGGTGGTGAAGAGGCGATCACACGACAATAGAAGTTTGCGCTTTGTCCTTCTGTTACTGTAGTGCTGTACGGTTTGATGATGAAGCGCGGCTGAGCCTCAGAGCGATCAAAGAAGGCATCGTGGATGTGATACTCTGCAGGACGATGCTTGCGAAGGGAGCTGTAGTTCGATATACGGCCAAGTGG